TTTTTTTTTGCTTAGCGTCACTTTAATATTTTTAGCTTCGGTTCCTTAACGGAGGAAGAGGTCCATACGTGATGCGGAGTCATTGAACTCTGTGACTGACCGCACGTCGCTAACAAGCGACCAGTCAACTTCCCTCCTTCTGTGGACCGTTCCATTGCAGTGCCATTTTGTATGACTTTGTGGTGAAATTTCTTTTGGGAGAGAGGGTTGAATGACTTTTGGGCTAGTGTAGAAGATCTTCAACTGCTGGCTAAAAAAGCATGATTTTTAGAACAAACATGATTGAAAAGATGGGATTTTTAGAATTAATAGTAGAAAAAAAATGAAACAGATGGAATTTATTTCATTTACTGCTAATATGAATGAAAAAATCTCACGCGCAATCTGCTTGTTAACGGCTACTTCAGAGGTTTCATATTCTTACACGTCGACTGGTAAACTCTATTTAAAGAAGTAACAAATTGCATCAGGAGTGTATGTGAAAAAAGAGACGTGAAAAGTTTTTTGGCTAACATTTCCACAAGACCAGAATCAATTTCTGTGTCTTTTTATTACAATTTCTTCTTTTATACTTTGATTCCCTTTGTTTTTCTCCAACTGAACTATTTCAGTTTTTACAAAAACTCTTAATTCAGAGAATTGTGATTTGCCGCTGTTTACAAATGCAAATGTTGTATACTGATCCAAAATTCCCCTAACGCATCTGGCTGAGAGACTAAAAAATTTTGTTGTCATTTCAAAAGTATCACTTTTCCTTACTGTTCTGTATATTTCTTATGTAAATGCAATGAAACGACCCGTAGAAGAACGGAACACAGTCGTCCAGAGCAGTACTGATGATGCACAGCCAATTATAGAGCTAACTGAGTACATTTTTCACGTCAACTTTTTTCTTCGCAAAACTGTCTGCAGTTTTCAATTTTTAGTGTTATTTAGCTAAAATAATTGTTCGAGGTTTGAAAAACATACAGAATCTTGTTAAAAAAGAAAAAAAACCTACCGTAAGCTAGAATTTCTGTTCTTTATTGATCTTTCTGTTTATTATCTTTATTACTTTTGATACTGAGCGCAAAAGTCATTAATTTTTTGGTCACTGAATTTTTAATCTGTTTAAATGTTGGGAACTATTTAGGTTTTATTTTTTTACAGTTCAATCAATGCTTCAGTTTTTGAATGGCTGAAAGCTTTGATTCTAAGACTAAATTTTTTTCAACAAATTTTGGTCATAGAATATAGTGAAAGTTGTTCAGGAATTGCTTCATGCCAAATTTGGCTTTGCTTCTAATATACCGAAAAGCTTTCTACAAAAGCAAAATTAGTTAACGTTTATTGAAGAAGTAAAGAATTTAAAATACGTTTCTATGCTGCAGTGCTCTTATTAGTAGTTGTTTTTTTGAGAAAGCTATTTTCTGAGTCGCTGTTCTTTATCTGTTTCATTTTTGCTTATTATGTTGCTAAAGATTGAGCCTACCTACTGGCTAAAATTTTAGAAACTAGTCGTTTAGACGAGCTAGGCAGTAAAATGTAGCATGGTATTAAGCCTTATTTTTAATTTCTGTTAGTTTGGATAACTTAAAGTTTGTGAGTTGTGAGCTAGTAGTAGTTTCTTTCTTTGCTTTCTTCTTATTGCTGGTGCCGGGGTAATTCAGCACTTGGCTCAAATGCTTGTATGTGTAAAGTCTCTTCTATGACTGGTAAAAAATATGGAAAGCGGCGGATCTAAAATTCAGTACTGACCTATTTTATGTAATTTAACTATCGTTTTTAAGTTGCTAAACAGGTGTGATCTGGACTAAAACGTCGTTTGTTTTACCTCCTAATTTTGTCAGATAGTCGATTCTTGGTATTTTTATTTTTAGATGTGCAGAGTTTTCACTCGCACAAACATTAGAAGCAAAACTGAGCAGGAAACGATATTGTTGTTAAAAAATATTGGTTTTAGAAGGCAACTTGCAATAGGAATGTTTCAAAATAGCATACTGACACTCTTTAATTGTAGTCAGTTTTGCTTTTGCAGGGAGCATTTCGCGAATTTAGAAATAAGGCTGGTTTTACTTTAGTGTATGTTGTTAAAAATACTAAAGAAAAAGAAACGCTGTTTTAGATTTAGCGACTTAAGTGTCTTAAACAACAAAGTCAGCTAAATACAGTATGTATGGTTCCATAAACTACGGACAAAAGCATATCTACACTTAATGTGTTGTCAGAAGTTGTATTTTTAGCAATTACTGTGCAAACTAGTCCAATTAAGCCCTAAATGCAGGAAACAAAAGGAAAGCCTGAAGATTCGAACGTTAGCGGGCTTTCTGGAGATGAATTTCCTTACGAGCAAAGCAGATTTGACAAGATTTTGAATACTTTTCTGTGCAGGTAATAAATAGACATAATTGTTTCTCTTCTTGTATGTTAACTAATGAAAATGATAAACAGCAATAAGGTTTGGTTTTACTGCACTTTAGCAGAATAATTTTATATTAATTTCCTTATTTTTTCACCATCTTTCATGAGTGTAAAACATCTTTAATCAGTGCAACCTAAAAAATCGCAAAGTATGACTTGTGTATAATAAACAAGGAAAACTAACTGCTTCATTTTCAGAGGTGATTTTGCAAAGCAAAGCTTAGAGGCACCACCAGTTTCGTTTAGAGATCTAGTAAGTTTCACACTTTACTGTTCTATTCTTATAACTGCTGATACAAAATTGTAAATTTAAGTTTCGATTTGCATCTGGTCTTGACAAGCTGCTAATTTTTCTTGGAGTTTTATTCGCTGTAATCAGTGGCATCGGGCAGCCATCGTCAGTGCTGATAGGTGGTCGAGTTGTTAATATCTTTTTAACTGAATCTGAGGTATTCTCCTTTCTCATATTAAAATTTTTAAAGCTATAAATGCCGCACCGAATTGCAGTAACGCTAATTTTCTGCCAAGCTGTCAAATATCAGTAATTTACTTTTCTGATTCTAATAGAGTCCAGCATTCTTAAAGACAAAGATTTATGGCTGAACTATTTGATCCTTAGCGTTTATTTTTCCGTGCAGGTCGTCTTGTTGCAAAAACGCGCATAGCTTTAAACAGCTAATCGTTTTGCAATCACAGCCAAGTTTGCTTCTCTTTTTTGGCTTGAATGTTGGTTTTAGTGCAAACAAAGTTTAGACTGCTTTAACAGACATCGTTCGCCTTGAACAATTTGAAGCACACGGGAGTCACAATTTTGTCACTTATCTGTTGAAAAATGTGTGCCATAAAAAAATCTTTCTTAATTTTTTTGGCTTTGCCTGCCGGTTACGGCTTTATGAGTTTTAATGAGAAGAACAAGCGACTTTTGCACTATAAGACTCTGCGAAGAATACAGAGGGAATTTGATAAAGTATTACTAAGAATAAATAAAAAGACTTTGGATTTGTTTTTGTAAGTAATACAAATTTGTTTTACTTAGAAACTCTTAAGTTTACGCCATTGGAAACAATATTGAAATTTTTGATTGGTCAGTGCACTGCTACCTCAATATCTTCATTAACGTTCACTTTTTCTTAGACGTCGTTGCTTGGTAGCTGGTGCGATAAGGCACAAACAGTGTTGCATGTACACGTTTTTTGACGTCTTGCAGGTTATAATAGCTAAAGAATGTACGGCGTACTGATAAATTTAGCTCCTTCTGTTCCAAAACAGATTATGATTTTCCTCATTACGGCAAAGCATAGAAATATGTACTGAGCAAAGAAATTGTAGAGGAATATACTTCTATAGAGGAGCGGAATTTATACTGTGACAGTCAAGTTGATGGATATATTAACAGATGCAGCGTTAATTTACGCGCTGAACTGTTCAATAATTTTTATGTGACACTTTGAAGATTTAGTTATAAACGTAAAAATTTCAGCCTGGAAATAGTGTTCTTTGGCATGACGGTTACCAAATGATTTACGTCTATGCAATCGTCGGTGTTACTATGGTAATATGTGGAATCATTCAGGTTTTTGCCTTTTTTTTCTTGAAGTTATCGGATACTTGCAATTGAATGTGTTTATTCCTTTTTTTTTCTGTAGACAGTTACTGTCTAGTGAAAAAGTTTCTTGCAAATGTAAGCACAAAAAAAAAAATGCGGAAGACTTTAAAAAATTTTTTTTGAACCTTCGATGATATATGCGTCATTACATGCGAATTTGCAGGTTTTTACATAGTGTTCTAGAGTTTTTTGAACTTTACTGATCAGTTAAGACTAGGCTGATATTCAGAAAGCCGAAGAGAGAGAGCTGGAAAATTGAATCGTCTGCCAAGTTATACTCCTTCAAAGCAGCAAAATTTACCAGGTTGCTGCTGGATATGCCTACTCTTCAAACTTACAGTTTAGCTAAACTGTAACGAAATTTATTAATTTTTTGTCATTTAATCTCATGTCTTTTAATTCTAAATGCATACCAATTACTTAATTTACTAAAAAATACTACAGATACAGTAGAAAGAAAATTTTAAATAAATTTAGAAAACAAGTGTATTTTATTTTAAAAAGGAATATTTTTTGTCGAATTTTCTGCTCTGTGGAAGTATCAAAAATTGGTGATATCTTCCCCTCAAAATCGAAAGTTAAGGGTAGGAGAGGAAGATGAAATAGAAAAAACTCGCTGTTTCTACACTACTTTTGCACAGTTTACAATGAAAAAACCGTTTTGGCTGCTTTTAAAAGCCACGGAGAGCGGTTATACAAATCTGGTATTTTTTATTAGTTGAAACATTGTTCAAAAAATTACTCTAGAAATATTAACAATTTATTATTTCACAGAGTTATAGTAATTTACCTTTATTTATGTGTTTTCTGCTTTTTACATATTGCGGTTAACTGAGGAGACCAGTGAGGCGCATCCGTTTACAAAATAGACGTACCAGTAATGTTTTATGTAACACAAAACGTTTTTTTTTTAAGCGAAGAGTGCATTTAACTCGAAGAAATTTATTTTACTGTTTGAAAGGTTAGCAAAGGAAGAAAGTTGTAAGCTTTTGAATCATATCTGTAGCCTACCCGGCAGCGTTCTGCTTTTACTGTCAAACATGAACTTGATTTACCATTCTAATTTTGAAATCGTAAGCTGTTTAACAGTGAACTAGTTAAAACTGTAGGTTTTTAGACTTTTTTATGACGCCCAAAATGGTACAAGGTACACAATCTTGGCAAGGGGAAGGAATGAAATAAAGAGAACAAAAATGAAAGCAATTTTTTATGACTCTGTAAAATAATAAATTTCTGATATTTTAAAATAGAACATAACTTTTTTGACAATGCTTTAACTTTCAAAAAATATCAAATTTTTGAAAACGCTCTTTGTAACTTTTAGAAGCTGCCCAAGACAGTTTCGGCGTTTTAAAGTACAAGAAATAATGTAGAAATAGTAGTTTCTTTGGATCCCATATTTTTTTTCTAACTTGTAAATCTCAATCGCAGAAAAAGGCATTGTTAATTTTTGATATTTTGTAGAGCAGAAAGTTTGAAACAAATTATGTTTTTTAAAGAATTTAAAAGTACGTTTCTATCTGTTTCTTGTTTTTATTGTATCTGTAGAATCGTTAAGCAAAGTTAAGTAATTTAATATGCGTCTAAGATTAAAAGTAATAACAATTTAAATAGGCTAAAAGTCATTAAATTTTGTAAAGGTCGAGCCAAATAGTAAATTTCTAGAAAAAGGTTTGTCAAACAATAACCTGGTAAATTTTGTTAATTTGAAGAGGCGTAACTAAGCGAATAAATTACTTTTTCGGGGTCTTTTTTTAGCTTTTTTTATACTGGCCTAGTTCGCACTAAACAACAAAGTTTGAAAAAATTTATAGATACCATGAAAAAAATATCCCAAATGGCGTGAAATGGCTCATATTTGCTTGGTAATAGATCTTAAATGACATCACAGTTTTTTAGGTTTCCAAAAAATTATTTTGTCGCATTTACAAGCTGTAAAAGTTATCACAGGTTTATTTGTTAGATACTATTGCTACTTTGCCACAGTTTTTATAATTGGTAGTAGCGGTGAAATCGCCACACTAAAATTATTCCTCTTTAAGTGTCGTAGACGAAAATTCTGTAACTTGTAAAAACTACGCATGAGTGAAAAAGTATATATAGGAATAAAGTTGCATAAATATGGTGGAAGAGAATTTCATTTCACTTATGAGTACAGGAAACTGATATGCTGCTTCTAAAATAAACTTTTTTGAAAATTAAAATGTTGGCCTGTTATTTCAAGACTTTTTTATGATTTTAACAAGTAGTGCTCAGTCAGTTTGGCATTAGATGACACGGTTGGGATACGAAGGAATGAATTGTCTTTACTTCATAATAAGTTACTAATGTGAAATTTTAATGCTCCGAACGTTATCTGGCTTTCTTCTTGTCAGCCGGGCGACTGTGTCGTTTATTTATTTTTGTAAGGTGTTGAATCTCTCTGAGACGCTCTTCTCGTAGTCACAGTTTATTGAATTTAAAGACGATTTTCAAGTTATAACCTTGTTATCATTTGTAATTACAGAGCGGAAAGTTGCTAGGTTATCGAAATATATAGTCACTTTTTAATCAACTTACTTAAAAAACTTAATTTAAGCATATTTGCTGTAGAACAGTTTCGATCAATATAGCGAGAAATTTAAGAAGAGAATTTATTAACTCAATTGTTTATCAAGACGCCGCTTGGTTCGATAATCAAAAGTCTGGCAAACTGACCTCGCAACTTAATTCGTAAGCATATGTCTACTATTTTTTCATATTTTTCTGGTTTTTTATAGAAAATGCATGGCTACGTTAGAACTTTCGAGCAACAGTAAAAGCTTCTCTATCTTTAGTAACAGATGTAAATATGCGAGTAATTATCGAATAAATGGAAAAGAAAACTGAACTAAAAATGAACTAAAATCAGCGCTAACTCTTTCAATTTACAATAATTATTTTAAACTTCACTGCCTTTTTTTTAATTTTGAGAAATATTGACCGAATAAAAGACGGAATTGGAGATAAAATTGGAATGATTACACGGGGCCTTACCTCGTTTGTTACCTGCCTAATTGTATCTTTTATTTATGAATGGAGAGTGACGCTAGTGACCATTTTATTAGGACCACTTTCAGCAACGCTTATGTCTTTTCAGGGCAGGGTAATGTTTTGCTGTTAATAAAAAAATTAATGTGTCAATATATTTTTGAGAATATTGTCTTAAATATGATTTCCCAGAATATGAAAACCGCTAAAATCAATTTTCAGACTAAGCAATTATTAGTCGTGTTGAAATAGCGAACAAATGCAGCTACCATTTTTGAATTTTAGTTTGTGGATCAACAGTCTACGAAACAGATGAAAGCTAGTGCTGAAGCAGATGCTATTCTTGAAGAATCAATTATAAATGTTAAAACAGTAGCTTCATGTAATGGGCAAGAAACTATGATTCAAAAGTACAAAAAATTGCTTCAAAACGCCAAAATTCATGCTCTTAAAGGATATGCTTACAGCGGTTTCTTCGATGGCCTTTTTTATTTCTTGATGTACCTCTTTATTGGTATCGGTTTTCTGTAAGTTTCATTTGTACAGTTTCTTTTATCATCAGTAAATTTTTTAAAAGTAGCTTTGCCAAACTGGAAAGCGTGCCTTTAACAGTCCGTTTGCTGTATTTACTTTTTGTTTTAGCTACGGTGGCTACTTGTATAAAGTTGGAGTCTTTACTGAACCTGGAAAAGTATTCGTTTCTGTCGGGTTAATTTTGTACGGCTCTTACTTCTTGGGTGTACTAAGCCCTCATTTTATGGCAATCATAAGTGCTCGGGTTGCCGCTGCAGTAATCTATAAAACTATTGACCGGGTAATTTTTAAAACTAAAATGAAATTTGAAATTTTAAGAGTTTTTAATCTCAGTAAGAATAAAAGTAGACAAGATTTTGAAAAGATTGGTTGAAATAGACAAGATTAGTAAAAAAACTTATAAAATTTATCTGTTTATACACGAGTTCAAGTAGCTAACTTGAAGTGTTTAGAAACCAAAAATCAAGTCTACTGACGAGAAAGGAGAAACGATTAAAGATCCAAAAGGTTTTGTTGAATTCAAAGATGTACACTTTTCCTATCCAACAAAGCAGAATATAAAGGTGTTAAATGGGCTTACATTCAGTGCAAACATCGGTGAAACCATCGCTTTGGTTGGACACAGTGGCTGCGGTAAAAGCACAACCGTGAGTTTTTGGTTTGACTTTGAAGTACAGAAAAGCCTGAAGGATAGATAATTTACTATCATTACTTACAAAAACTTTAAGCGAATACTCTTTTGAAAAATATTGTCTGTGTAAGACGAGAGTTATCAAAACACCACGTTTTACATTGAAACATTATTAACTTTTAGAACTGCGAACCTGCCCAAAAAACTGTGATTTCAAGTAGGAACTGAAAACAAGTATCTGGCATTTCAAAAAAAAGGCGTCAAGAAATTAAAAAGTAGTTAAAAAATGTTTTAATTCTCTTTTTGAACGTCAAGTCAGATTTGAAGCAAATCATTCAGATCTACTTTAGTAAAAAAGATACATTACGTAAGACTGACAAATTTTGTTATTTTCAATCAAAACGGTACGTAATATAAGAGGCAATTGTGAAGAAAATATTAAAAAATTTAGAAGAAAACCATACTTTTATAAAAGAAGTAACTATTAATTTTTGGTGTTTTGGGTTTTTTAGCCTTCTTTAACAGAAGATGCAGCGACTTAAGTGTTAATTGCGTATTATAAACTGAAATAAAATGCTCAGTCACGATGCCAAACTACAACCTTATTTAAAAAGCAAATTAATACTGGAATTTCTGACTAATTATTGTTTTTTTATCGCAGATGTGTGATGCAGTAAAAGTTAATATTTTGCCTAGATATTATAAAAGCCCTTTCGTAAGCTGTAGAGGTAGTATCCGCTTCGTTGGTTTAACATAGAATTTTAATAGGTACCGAAGAAAGATTTATTAAAGAAGCCAAAGATAATGGCAAAAAATCTTAATTTATTATTTTTTAGAGTCAACATAACGTTTCTTTTCTATTGTTTATTCAGTGAGATTTTTGAGGTACATTGCTGCAGAAATAAGTAAAAGAAGAAATGCTCATATATCCTTGGTAATCTATTTAATTTAGTTTCTGGTATACGAAATTTTTGTTAGGAATGAACGTTAAAGCAAGAAAAAACTATAGCGAAAGGCTCTGGTATTATTTTTACACATCTTATATAGCAAATAAATTACGCTAAGAACTAGCCTGTCAAATTGCACACTTATAGGTAATCGAACTGTAAGTTTTAGAGGATTTTAATAAAGGTTAATAAAAGCAGAATTTAAAGCTTTTTCTGGTACTTCTTCAGTGCACGTAACTTTTACTGTTTTGAAGGTAATGTTGCAAAAGAAACACTGAAACACGCTAATTCTTGCAGATCTCTTTATTAACAAGATTATATGACTACCAGTCCGGAAGTGTAACAATTGACGAATGCGAAGTGAAGAATCTGAATATTAAATTTTTAAGAACAATTGTTGGGGTTGTACAACAGGTTTTTACGATTTTTCAGTAGAGTAGTGAAAATTACTCTAGAAACTGCAGAACATCATAATACAAAAAAATTTTAAGTTTAATCACTACTGCGTACTTTAGGAACCGGTTTTATTCAATGGTACTATTAAAGAAAATATTCGTTTGGGACGTCCTGATATAACAGATCGAGAAATTGTCGAAGTATGTAAAATGGCAAATGCTCATGATTTTATCTCAAAACTTAATCAGGTAAGAAGACAAATTAGAGTAACAATGAAATTTCAAGAAGTAGTCAAATGTTTGCTTTTTTTTACAGCAAAGTTACAGCAAGTTTACAGCAATTGTACACAGTAGAATCACCACCGTAGATTCAACTTTTGTAGAATTACGACACTTTAATTGGTGCTGGAGGAGTACAGTTGTCAGGCGGTCAAAAACAAAGAATTGCAATTGCTAGAACTGTCGCTCGAAACCCCAAAATTCTTCTTCTCGACGAAGCAACTAGTGCATTAGATGCTGAAAGTGAGGTTGTTGTTCAGAATGCTCTACGAAAGGTGATTACTTTTTTAGCTACATTTTTTAAAAATTTTTTAATTTAAAAAAATTTTGCTAGTACATTTATTACAAGTTCGTGATGGTCCAGAGTCTAATTTTTTTGTCTAAGAAATTTCATACCTGTTTAACAGATTAGAAGTTTGGTAGGCAGATTTTTCATCCAACAAGAAGATCCTGTTAGGCTTCTGCCACTGATCAAGCAGTATATTGTTTCTGGAACAAGTATAGTGTCTGACCAGTGGCCGCATTTACTTAAACAAACTTTTCCGAGTACATTTATCATCTACGATTTGCAAAGAACGCAACTTCAGGCCTCAGTTGGACGTACCACGATTGTCATAGCACACAGGCTGTCAACATTAAGAAATGTGGATAAAATTCTGGTGGTTAACGGTGGAAAAATTGCTGAATGTGGTGACATTTTATTTCACAGAAACTTCCGTCATTAAATTCACATAATTTTGATTAACAGAACATAACAGTCTAGATTAAGTTTTTGTATTGTTCAGGAAGCCATGAGGAATTGTCAAAAATTGAAGGAGGAATTTACGCAGGTTTTGTTAAATCACAGCAATTGAGGGAAGGAAGTTCAGAAAGACCAAAGGAAGGTCTACAGGAACAACTTTCCAAGGAAGAATTTATACGTCAAAGGTAATTTTTAAATTTTAAAGAAAAAAGCGGATGATAACTCGGAATATTAAAAAGCTTTGTGAGCTTAATTTCTTCTTGTCTTTTACATATACTGTTTAATATACAATACTATGTTTACTTTAAAACAATCAATTGAAGCTAGATAAAAACAGTCATGTACACGTAAGCAAAGGGAATATGGAGGTATTAATAACGTATTATTTTCAGTTCGCTGCAAATGTCGCTTTTGTCAGGAAGTTCATCGCATTTTGGTAGAGGCAGTATGATAGAAAGAAATCGTTTTAGTGTAGAATCTAAATTTACTAATGATAGCAAAAAAAATAAGAAAAACGATGATTTAAAAAAGGTAAAAATCACTTTTAAAATTGATTGTAATGAGTATAATAAAAATTTTGTTGAATGCCATATAGAAATAGGATTGTTTTAGCTGTGTGAAATAAAAGTTTGGTAAAGATTAGCAAAATAGAAAATAATTTAGAATGGATGAGGGTTTCAAGAAACATTTTCAGAAGACGTCAGAGCACAATGAAGGCGGTCTTTGGATGTTGTACCGTAGCTGCCTCTATCATTACAAAAAAGCCCTTTTTGCTGTTACGGCCTCTGTTATCCGAGGATTTGAACTGTTTGCCTTCGTTATTATTTACAGAGTTACCTTTAGTGGGTTCGATGCTTCAGACAGTGATGAGATGATACGCACGCTACGTGATGCTTTTATTGAGTTTCTTGTTGTTGGAATTCTCTGTTTGGGAGCTTTGACTGGGGCAGTAAGTATATTTGGTCGTTGTGGTTATGTTACGAATTTTTAAAAAAAACAGCTACTTTTTTCCAGTTTAGCCTATTAAGAACAAAGGCTGTGAGAATTGTGCAATTTTCTAAATGCATTTGTTTTTGTAAAGTGAGGGCAGTGTTGAGTTTTAACAGTTTTCTCTGCGTAGCAAAACTTCATCAGTACTAATATTTGAGAAAATTTTTGATTTTAAGTTTTTGAAATCTCTACAACTATTATTAGAAATAGAATTCCAAGAAATGCAGTAGAAAACTGGTCACAGCACTTACTACAACTTTTATTCTTTTTTATCTCAACCTCTATAGTTATGTTTTGAACAATTAGTTTAAGATCTCTTTTTGAAGTGTAAGTATTCGAAAA